AGGGGAAGGGGAAGGGGAAGGGGAAGGGAAGGGAAGGGAAGGGAAGGGGAAGGGAAGGGATGTGTCGCTCAAGTGGGAGAGTGCACTTGGTCTTAGGGACTAAGGGTTTTAAGGGAAGAGATTTTAGGGGAACTCCCAGGGGAAGATCTTAATAGAATATTTAGCAGTTTTCCAGGTGTGTCCTTTCAGGGTTGTGGTCTCCACTGATTGGTTGGTGTCATTACCCAATGCAGGGTCCCAAGGTGGCTGGTTTTGGTGCTTTTCTAGGCCTGGAGCCGAAATACAACTGAGGCCTAGATATTATCTCTAGGGAGGAAAGGTCAGGGGGTCCAAACCACAAGACCAATGACATGCTAGGGGAGGCAAGGCCACCCTGGGGCGAGGGCCCACCCTACAGTTGTCCTTTGCTAGGCATCCAGGGCTTTCCATCCTGGTGACCTTCTGTACCTGGCCCATCGTCCCTGCTCTGCGTACATCTGTCTGATAAGTGCATATTACACTTATTTAGAGGAACAATCTATAAAAATGAAAGCTAGGAATGGAAGCCAGTTCAGGAGTCCCTAAGTACCTAATTGCTGGCTTCCTGCCCTTCTATCACTATGAAGCAAACGCTGGAGCAGAGGGTTAAAAGGAACTAGCTGTAGACCAACGACTCTGGCAGGCACACCCTTTCCTTGCGACCAACAAAAACGCAGTAGTAGCATAGGCGTTTCCCTAACAGTCATGTTAACTGCAGGACACACAAGAGCGCAAATTTCTGTTCACTGGCTGAGTGCACCTTGGCGACAGTTTGTTTCTGAAGGCAGTCTGTGTTCAAACGATACACTGCCTGTTCACGCCAGCTCCAGAGGAACCCCAAGCACCGGGGCTGGGCGTGGGTGGGGTGCGGGAGGACCCGCAGCACTCTCTTCAAGGAGCAGGTGCTCCTCGAGGCTCCACCGGGAGCTTGGGAAGGGGAGGGCGGGGCGCGTAGGCAAGAAGCGGCGCGAAGAGCCACATCATTTACCTCGTTTCCCAGAGAGCCTTTGAGGTCCCAACGAGGCCGGGCGGAAGGCGAGCGGGCGCCGTTACCACCAGGACAGCGTTGATCTTGACCGTGGGCCCGCTCAGGACCCCTCGCACCTCGCTGGGCTTTCCCAAGAACCTGAGCGAAAACCAGGTGTAACGTCCGGTACCTCCCACGCCTGGCTCCGCCCACCACGCCCATCGCCCCGCCCAGGTCCCGCCTAGTGGGAGGGGGGTTCACCCGTCACCCCACTTCCGGTGCCAGCGTCCCAATCGGCCTCGACCGCTCTTCACTTCCCTCTCCTCCGCTCCTTTTCCCCGCCCCTATCGCCTCCTTTAACACCGTCACGTGAGGGGAGAGCGCGGGGGCTGTCGGGACTAGTACTGCCGGTGGGTCAGGGTTCGGCCTCAATATGGCGGTTCCGGTCGGGCAGTGACCGAGGTTTTGCGGTCAGAAGGATTAATTGGGGATTGTCGGCGTCTCCACCTGATGGGTGGGATGTGAGGTCGCCGTGGCGAGCGCTGAGGAGCGGCGGTGACGGGGAGGGGTCGGTGGTGTGTGCCCCGGGAGGCGAGACGACGGAGACTGTTCCTTATATTGGTCTTAAGGCTTCATTGCGGGGCCCCGCCCGGCCGGGCTAGGCCGGCGGGCGGCGGCAGTAGCTGCTGCAGCCGAAGGATCAGCTTCTGAGCGTGGACCGGAGGGCGGGCGCCGCCGGAGCCCCTGCCTCGGCGATGGCCCAGTGTGTACAGTCAGTGCAAGAGCTGATCCCGGACTCCTTCGTCCCCTGTGTGGCCGCGCTGTGCAGCGAGGAAGCCGAGCGGCTCACTCGTCTCAATCACCTTAGTTTCGCGGAGTTGCTTAAACCCTTCACTCGCCTCACTTCCGAGGGTACGTGGTCTTCTCCCTTTTCCACTGCGCCTCTGCACGCCGGGGCCGGGAGGATAAGTTGGGGGTGGGCAGGGAAGAGAAGGGCGATGTGTCCATCGCGTAGCGAGGGGAGAGCCCTACGGGGCCGGGGCCCCGCCGCGTCTCCGGGGGGCTGCTGGCGCCGGGCCAGGAGTGAGCTTGTCAAGGCAGCGCCGTCCTAATCTCCAGTCTCTCTGGGCACTGTCCTTCTGTCCCCAAACGAGCCAGACTGTTAGGTAATGACTGTAAAGAAAAACGTGAGCCCCAGAGAAGGGCGAAGAGACTGTTCTCAGCGGCCGCAGGGAAGGAACTAGGAAGTTGTACGACAGGTGACGATAGGAAGATGCTGCCTCTTGGAACGGTGAAGTCTTGGTAAAGACGGCGGGTCATTATCCCCGGGGTATTAAGCTGGGCTTTCAGAGTTGTTTTGAACGTTACATTCTTCCAGCAGTGCGGCTCGTATCTTTCTGAGCTTGTGTTTAGTTATTTTACATTTTTCTTTGAGAACTTAAAACATTTTCTGTGGTATATAGTACTTCTCAAGAAAACAAGTCTTACAGAAATGATAAAACTTGAAACAGCCTTTGCCTAGTGTTCGAAGAAGTAAGAACAAGTAGTTAATTTAATCGAGGTGAGGTTATCTAGGTTTATGGGGAAGGAAAAGTCCTAAAGTTTGTTTTTTCAGATAAAAGTTAAATCAGTAGTAGAAATGTGCCTTTTATTGAGACGCTGTTTTTTCTAGCTTTTAGAGCCTTTATTAGGAAAAAATAAGTGTAATAAAACTCCAAGTATGATTTAAGCAGTGTCGTTACCTGAACTTTGCAAACAGAACATGGCGAAGTATAGGTAAAGGCCTTTATTAAGGTCTACGTAAAATGAAGGGTTTTAATAAAGCTGTGTCAAGTGAATGACTAGATGTTTATTTGGTTATGATGACTTCTGCACAAAAAAATGGTGCTGTGCCATATATTCATGTATTTACATGCCACAGGTGTGTATTCTTCGGAAGAATAGTCCCATTATAAATTCATTTTAGTATTTAAAGGGGAGAGGAAGCTCTGCAGAGAAAGAAAGTTTGGGAGCGCTTGGATTTCCTTCAGCCTGTGCCATAGCCAGCTCCTCCACTGTTGTACTAAGTCAACAAGAACAGCTAAGTGCCCTACTTTCTTAAATTCTTTGAGAGACGTGTGTCCTCTTTCCTGCTTTGTTAATAAGTAATAATGCTAATACCTGATACCTGTTCTATGTAACTTTTTTCTTTTAGTCCTTACTGAATTCTGTGAGGTAGATACTGTAATCATCATTTTACATTTGAGGATGTTGAGGCTAAGAGTTAACTTTTCCTGCCTTACTTGAGGGAAAGATTTAAAAACAGGCAATGTGACTCAAGACAGGTATTCTTAATCAAGTCATCTTCTCTCCTGTTGATATTTAGAATTACTTATTCACACTAGACAGCAGCACTACCCAATAGAAATATAATGAGTCGCATATATAATTTAAAATTATTTAGTAGTCACATGATAAAAAAAGTGAAAAGAAACAGGTGAAATTAGTTTTAATGATTGATATATATCCTATTTAACCCAGTATTCCCAAAATATTATCATTTCAATATGTAATCAATATTCAAAAATCTTTTTTTTTATCCTCACCTGAGGATTTTTTTTTATTGATTTGAGAGAGAGGAAGGGAGAAAGAGAAAGAGGAACATTGATATGAGAGAGAAACATCAATTGGTTGACTCCTGAAGGTGCCCTGAGTCGGGATCGAACCCACAACCTGGGTATGTTTCCTGATGGGGAATGGAACCCATCACCTTTTGGTGTACGGGGGACTACCTCCAACCAGTAGAGCCACACCACCCCTTAATGAGGGGGCTGGGTGGAGGGGGCAAAAGGAGGGAAAATGGGGCTCCTCTGTAATACTGTCAACAGTAAATAAATGAAAGAACCAATGAATGCATAACAAAATCTTAATGAGATATTTTATGTTTTTTATTGCCAAGTCTTTGGCACCTTTATTACATCTCAATTTGGACTAGACGTATTTCAAGGGCTCAGTAGCCACATGTGGCTGCTGCCTCCTGTATTGGCACCAGTGAATAGAAGCTCAAATCAGCATTCTGATTTCCTTCTGTGGACCGAAGGATTTACGAGAGGAATATGATGAGACTTCTATGGCTAGGCAGAGAGTTGGTGGAAGGACAGAAGGAGATGAGGTTAGAATATCTAGTTATGGGCAAAAGGTGTGAATTATGAATTATGAGTAGTTGGGGAACAGTAAGGAAACTCTCCTTGTCTGAGTACAGAAGAGTAAGGGAAGATGGGATTTTGGCTTTCATATCGAATGGTAAATCTAAAAAGTCTTAGATTCTTGTCTTGAGCAAAGGTTTGAAATTTTGGGAGAGGTAAGGTTTTAAAGTTTAAGATGATTAGGATATGGACTGGTTGGTGGCATTAGAAATTTGGCAAAACGGACATAATTTTTCTGTGGTTTAGTTTTTTGCTGGTAAATAAATTTGGGGCCTCTTTACCATTCAGAAAAGGCTGCCTTTTTGTCTCAAAGCATGGTGATTCCTCAAGTTATGCTAAGACTTAAAGAATTTATATTCATTGTTTCAACACAAATTTTGTGATTCTAATACTACTTGAGAAATTTCCACAGGCCATGTATTTCAAAGAGTAGTGGTAGTGTTACTTAATCAAACCTTACTGCTTTTGCTGTTATAGTGATGGTTCTTTGATAATTCTAAACTGTTTGAGCATACCATTTAGACATTTATAAGATTTAAGAAAATTTCATTTTAACACTAACTTTTGAAAGTACTTGGCTTTAATTTCTGAAAAGTATTATTTTAAATTTTACTGTAAAATACTTTTAAGGGATTACAAAGATAAGAATAGAATGCAATTTTTATGTAAATCTTGAATATTTTTTGAATGAGCTGTCAAAAGTGGCAAATTAGATTGGGAAATGACCTTTAAAGGATACTTAATGTCTCTAGTTTTAAGTTTCTTTTAAAAAGTTAGAAATGTTTCAGCAATCTTAACTACCATGTTGGTGTAACTAGGTAAGTAACCTCCAAGTTTTTCAAATACCGAACTTTGAATAAAATCGGTCAACTTTTCAAAATTTAGATATACATGTTGTTTGTGTCACTTTTGTACAACTTTTTTTCCCCCAGCAGTCGAGGTTTTCCTTCTAAAGTTTTGTGTGCTAGATAAAAACATAAAAATTATGAAATAATTCCTGGAATACCAGATGTTATATGCTCCCTAAAAGTGAATTTTATGGTCAAATAAGTTTGCTTAATATCGCATGTGTTTGATAGAATCACAGTATCCTTTAGCATATTAAAAGCTCTGGGAAGATCTGTGATAAAGAGGATATTTTAAAACTTGATCCAGTATTTCCCAAATTTATTTGAACATGGGATCAGTTTTTCAGAAACAAGCTCTTAACTTTCTTGAGGAAGCAGTATTCCATGGAGCAGCACGTACTGGGAAATATTACTTCATAATATAGTGTCTGGGGTGGGGAGTGGGTGTGGGGCAGGAGAGGTCAAGGGGGAAAAAAGGACATCTAATATTTTCAACAATAAAGATAAAGTAAAAAAAAACTATATGTAACCTATAAAAGTAAGATAATGGTAGATTTGAATTTAATTTTCCCCCCAACTTCAATGGAATTTTATTTTTTTTCTTTATTTTTTCCCAGTCCTCATTTATCTTCCCTATACCCTCTTCCACCTCCACCGCACTGTTGAATTTCATTGTGAAACTGAGGTGTAATATGATATATAGTCACCTTTTGTGCTGTTATAATTTAACGAAACCTTAATATAATTTAGTTCTGAAGCTTAGGATTTTTTGTGTGCGGTTTAAGAGCATTTCTTTTAATCATACTTAGTTCTTATATTAGGTTAGTTTTTGTGATACTCCAGTGTGTTACTTATTCTATTGTTGTGTAACAAATGACCCTAAAACGTAGCACCTTAAAAACAAAAGCATTTATTATCTCTCAGTTTCTCATTAATCTGGGAGTGGCTTAGCTGGATGCTGCTGGCTCAGGGTCTCTCTTGAGGTTGCAGTGGAGCTATCAGCAAGAACTACAGTCATCTGGGGCTTGAGGATCCTCTTCCAAGCTCACTCATGGTTGTTGGCAAGTCTCATTTCCTCACTGGATATTCGCCTGAGACCTCAGTTCTGTGCCATGTGTCTGTCCATAGGCTCCCTGAGTATCCCATGGCATGG